AAAGCTATCAGAATGATATTCCATTGGAAAACAAACCAAGAGAAAGGAGGAGCCAAAAGGCAGAGACCTGAAAGCGTGAGCAGGGTTCAGTATGCAGCCCTCATCAGGATGAAGCCAGCCTGAAGAGACTTTCCCCGTCTAACAGCCGCTTTGATAATCTATCATGATCCATGTCCAACCTTTCATTCTTCCTGTTTTTCCTCCCAGCATGTGCTGGTTATGTGGGAGTGTCAGAAGCATTAACAGTGCTCTCTTCACAGCTTTCTTATGAGCGTTTGGTGGACCAGTATGACTCTCGTTTTCTGGACTTTTTCAGTGCTTAGATCAAATCCAACTGAACCTGTGAGATTACAGGGCACACATACATTACACAGAAGAATAGAAGCACACAGTCCTATGGCTTCATGCTCTCCTCTCCACAAAGGCAGTGGAAAGAAGGGTTAAAAGAACAGAACAAAGCTGTGTGTGGTATGTTTGGCCTGTCTTTTTGTGAGGGTCAGTGCTGCTGTCATTTTGTGCTCATTCTGCTTCTTAGTCCAGACCCCGGTGTTCTCTGTCTGAATTGCTTCCTGTTCCCATCTGAGACTGAGTCCATGGACGGTCCTGCAGTAAGCTGGGATAGGCTCCAGCCCCCCCTGTTGGGAATAAGCAGTATAGAACATGGATTGATGGACATATGCAGTTGTTTAAATAAGGTCCACGTCATAAATGTACTCTTAAAGTGCTAAATGATCAGTGTTTAGCCTGGTTTGAGAAGCAAGCAGCCTGGTTCTAACGGTACTGTTAGCTCAAGCTCCTAGGTCATGGTATCTTAGGACAGCTTCCTGGCCTCACACCCATAAGATCTTTGAGGATTGGGGACCGTCAGGATCCACCTCTGGACCCCCAGCGCACAGATCCAACAACAGGTGGGACTTATCTGAGCTGGTAAGAGAACCAGGGGATGTTTTCCTGAGGGGTTCAGGAGACTCAGCAGGGATTTTTACAAAGAAGTGAGACCAAAACTGAGAAACTGGGATGGGCAGGGCATCAGGCGGGATGTAGTCTGACACTGGTTTTAGGATGCTAAAGACTTTGATGACTTTGAGGCATTTCTAACATGTGGACTAAAATCAGGAGGACTGGGGTCGGGGTAGGCCTGGACCAGAGCAGAGCTTTCTTCAGTAGTCCCGGACGGGTTCTCCTCCACAGCTAACGCTGACACTGGTTCTGGAGATTCTTCATGAATGTTTTCTAATTGGCTGGCAGCATAATGGTAATGGTTTTGAGAACAATGCATTATCAAACTAGGCACGCCACAGAATCCCATCCGGAAACATGCTCTTTTCTCCTGAAACGGATGTGTTCGTACCTCCCTGGCTGAAGGCCTCTGATCTTTGCACGGGGAAACAGGATGCTGGCTTAGAACCAGCTATTTTCACCCTAGACCTGGCTATTGCCTGAAGGAAGATAAGCAGCAACCATTTTTACGACACTGTTGATTATTAGATACCCTGCTGGTGTAATTAGATGATTATGGTATCCCTGTCAAATGTTGGGTGATATGAAAAAAAGTATGGATTAAAATCCTTCAAACTTTTAATCTTTGGTAAAACCATTTTTCGTGCTATCCGTGGGTCTGGCAGAGAGGACAAAATGGGAATTACACAGCGATTACTTTGGACAGAAAATGTTAAGGTGTCATTGATTGTGAGAGCAAGTTAGAGTGGTCTCATTCCTAAACAGTCCATTTGCCTTGCATCATGTTAATCATTCTCCCCAGTTAGTGGCATGTGAGGAAGTCACATGAAGCTGCTTAGGAAGGGAACAATTCTGTCTTGAATTAGTGGCAGCAAAACCATAGGTAGTGGCACAAAAATTCTATCTAAATAAATGGATCCATAACCTGCTGTTTGCTCAGAGAAAAGACGCTCTTAGGTGGATGTACCTTTGGTTCTGTGTCCAGAAGGTCTGCACTCCTCATTCAGTGTGCTGTTTTTGGGTTCTGTTGGCACAGGTTACTTCAGATTATATCGCTGGGTTTCCAAACTCTGCTTTCTCTGCCTGTGCATGTGACTGATTTGGCATAAATCCAGCCAGGTATTCTCCAGACGACCGTAAAAAATGAACTTTAACTAAGAAATGGGTGGAAGGATGAGTTGGCAAAAGCTTCGTTTTCATGTTAAAGACAGACATCTGATAGAAGAAAATGTTTCTTTTGACCTAAATGTAATTCAGATTCATCCCACTAATTGGCCCTCTCTCTAAACTTGAGCACTGGTCCAGTATCAATACTGGACCAGTATCAATACTGGACCAGTCTGTGGTGTTAGGCACCAGGATGCAGGATGTCCTCTGCTGTGGGACATCCAGACCATCTTCAGACGTGTGACCCATGTGTGTCGTTACTGACTGTACTTCTCCACTGGATACAAAACAGGGAAGGCATGAAATTCTTTGTTTTATTATGTTTATTTATGATTTATGTTTTTATTCTTGCGCTGTTGCAGGTGTGTGGTTGTTGGATAATGTGTTCTGGCTACATCCTTTTGCTTCCACCTCCTCTCATCTACGCATCAGCAGTTTCACTGGCACCATGAAGGGGTTGAGTGGGGGGCAGGCCTCCAGCGTGTCCGCGTCCCCTGATTGGCTGCTCGTCCCTCCGTGGTCAGCAGCCGGGGCGGGCGCCTCCACCTGAGCGGAGAGCCCCGCCCTCAGAGCCCCCAGAGCTTCTCTGGCCGCTTTGGAGTGGGCAGGGGCCGACACATACCGGTACACCTGAAACAAGAGAGCAGCGGTCAGATCCAGCCCCCCACCTCTGGGCCACTGCACACCACGCACGTGTCAGTCTGTCCGCCCCTTTCTGCTGCTTTCTTCTGAAAAAGCACAGCATTTATAATTTTTTGCATGAAAAACATAGAGCTGGACACTCATAGAAGGCGTCCTTTTTCCATCCACCCAATTTAACACACGAGTATTCCAACAACACTTTGTGAGAGAACCATTCTGAGGAGTATGAGGACAATATAAAGCTCCACTAGCACCACCATGGCCAAACAAAAGCCAGGATAAAGTGGTCAGAGTATGGTTTACGTCTTCTGAAACACCCCCCCCCATGGCTGTGGAGCTCCCCCTGACAACAGGAGCGCTGAAATGATCAGGGACGTGTCTCCATGTCTTCCCACTGACTTTTCAATGAACTGGAAATGAGGGGAGCAGCTCCTCTCCGGGCTCCTGAGGACAGAGCTGCTTTTCCTCTGGCTGTGAGCGGGCAGAGGGCGGGGGGGCGTACCTGGAGCAGGTGTCTGTGCAGGCGGCTGCAGTCCAGCAGAGCAAGCTCCTCTGGCAGAGACATCAGCAGCTCCAGAACCATGGCGCTCTCTGGGGAGGGGCAGCAAACAGCGGTCAGTCGGACAGTCCTCGTTGGTCAGGCCCGTGTAGCCTGTTGTTACGGGGGGGGGGGCAGTTTGCCAGCCCTCAGAGGAGCAGGTGGCTGCAGCCCACGTCTTTGTCTGTGGAAGCCTTCAACGGGGACCAGTTCTGTCCAGAGTCAGCTCAGGTTAAGTTCTGCTGGTCTCACTGGGAGGACCTCACTGGGACTGGGAGGACCTCACTGGGACGACCTCAC